TCACCCAGCATTTCTCCTCGATTTTGCAGAGGCAGCCACCATGGTGCAGCTGATCATTTCTGGGTGAGTCCTCCGGGGTTTGCACCCGACCCCCCCCGACCCCTTGCCGGTACCTACTCCATTGAGAGACCCCCCTCTTCCCCCTTTTTTTTTGTAGGGCAGGGGCTGGAGGCCTGGACGAGTGGGTGCTGATGGAGCTGCAGGGCGAGCTGGAAGCCCGCAGCGGGGCCGGGCTCTCCGGGAAGCTCCTGGGAGACCTTCATTACACCAAGGAGGTGAGCCGGGTGAACTTCTGCCCGGGTTCTGGGGCTGGGAGGGGATGGTGGTCTCGGGGACCCGCTCTTCTCGCCTCTCTTCTTCCCTAGGGGGTCCCAGTTCTCATTGTGGGCCATCACATCCTCTACGGGAAGGTGGTCCACCTGGAGAAACCCTTTGCCGTCGTGACCCGGGCGGCCCCCGGCGACTCCTCCGGTTCTGGGGGCTACTTGGCGACAGCCCTCATCAAGAAGAAGCTGCTCTTCAAAACCCGCCCAAAGCCCATCATCACCAACGTGGCCAAGAAAGCGTGAAGGAAAGGCCGCCCCCTCGGCTCCAGCCACGGAGCGGCCCCTCGGCCTTTTGCTGGACGTGTGTGTGTTGGTTTTCCATTTCCCCCCAGAAGACCCTGGACTGCGTAACCAAAATCGACAGACTGGACCCTCGGCAAGGTGGTCGCCTCCGGGTGCCTTTGTTTTTTTGGGGGGGGGCTTGTCTGCGCTCGAATGGTGTTTATAGGCTTTACAAGCTGGGCTTGTGAGCCACTGGGCGAAGAAGCCAGCCCTTCTGTGCAAGAAGCCCAGATCACCAGTGCGTTTCGTCACAAGGGCTGTCGGGATGGGGGAGGGAGCCGAGCCTCATTCCTAGGTTACTGAGATCTGCTTGGGGTGATTCGCCTGCACCCAATTCCAGCATCACCGGAGGAGACCAGGGAGAGCAAAATACAGGGCTTGGGGACTCCTGAATTTCTCTCTGTGAAAGCAGGTGGGGCTCTTCTCTAGGCTCCCCTCTTGAGAGCCCGGGGACCCACTCTGGCTCCTCTCCCACCGGTCTTCCTAGTTCGCCTCCGCTTTCACCCGGGCCCGGACTGGCCCACCGCATTGTGCCAAAGCTAGCAAAATGTGTAGTAGATGCAGGGTGGTGGCGAAGAGCTTTCAGACCATTAAGGATGGCTGTTCCTGAACTGCCTTTCTCTTGGGGTTTTTTTTTTCCTCCCAACCCAAGTTGGGAGGCTCTGCTGGCACTCTCCGCAGGTGCTGTGCAAAAACGAGATCCACACACCTTCTCCATCCCAGCCTTACAAAACGGTCTTCCATGGCCTTAAAAGGGGTGTGTGTGAGTGAGAGGGAAATGAGGATGCTCTCATTACATTCCTCGCCATTTTGTTTACAATTTTTTTTTTTATTGTAACAAATGTTAAAAAAGAAAAGAAAAGAACCCAGACCTTCAGGTTTGTTTGTTTTTTAAATGTGGAAAGGCGGATAAAAATAAATAAGATTACAAATAACTTCAAGCCATCAACTAGGGTTCTTACCAAAGAGTACCAAAAAGTCTACAAATTTTGTTTTAAATAAGAGGAACCCAAATGCATCAAGGTAGAAAAAAGGAGGCAGCCTGGAGTGAGGGAAGGGTGGGGAGCAGAGGCTGCCAGACCCACCATTAAATCTCGAATGCCTGGGACCAGCACAGGCGGAAGAGGACAGCAGGATGTCGGGTGGGGTAGAAAGCAGCATTTTCAGACATTCATAGGGAGAAAGGAGGGTTGGGAGCCCAGGCTCCACCTAACACTTTCAAGGATATTGTGTGCTAAAGCACCCTCCCCCTCTGACCAATTTTGTCCATGAAGCGGTGCGATTTGGCAACCCTTTGTAGGGAAGGAGCCTTGCCCAAGAGCAGCATTTTCCGTGAAAGTCCAAAAGACAGTGGCCATCATGGGCTGTAGCAAGTTGCCCCAGAGGGAACGTGTCTGCATTGTACAGTTACACTGGTTTGATACCATTTTCAACTACCATAGCGCTATTCTGCACGGTTTGGGAATTGGTAGTTCAAGGAGATTTTTAGAATTGTCTGTGGCGAGTGCTAAAATAAACCCTGAAATACAGCAGATAACTCTGCGTATCCCACTAAACTACAAATCCCAAGATTGTTAGGAGGGAGCCCAAGATGTTAAAAGTGATACCAAACTGTCAGCACAGCGCTATGTCACTATAGTGCAAATGTACTCTTCTGCCTGCAAAATGACCAACCTTTAGGGCCAGGAAGGGCCATACATTTCTTCTTTAGCTGACACATTTTTGTTGGGACTGTTTTTTTCTCACCCCTGAAAGAAACCCTGAGGAACAGAAGGTCCTGTCTGGGCAGTAGGCCTTTGTGTGAGAGCTTAGGGCTCAGAACCGAGGCAGACTTAACCACATGGCACCCTCAGCAGCGTGACAAAGCAGACTTTTCTGCTCCTTGGCCCTAAGAGTAAAAGGACTACTGGGGGGCAGCCTCCAGAACAGCGGCAAGCGCAAAAGGTAGCATAGCTCCCCACCAATGCTAGGAGGCAGGCACGGAGTCAAAAATGTAAGAGAAGCAACAACAGCACAGAACCCTATGGAACCCTGCAGTCTCCATCATAAGCATTTTGCCCTCACAGTTGCTTGGCACATTTTATGTTAAGAGCAAAGAGATGCTAATTCAGACACAAGACACTCGCTCAAAAATTGCATATTTAAAAGAAAATGTAAGACGTTGGCTTGTTTTGCTCTTTTCCTAGTTGCAGGACTGGCCCTTCCGGTTTGGACTCCTTAATACAGAATTTCTGAATTGTGGAGATTATTTTGCTCCTGTCCTTTGCAGGAAAAGGTAGTGGTACAAGCCAGCATTGCATGTGGCTATAGGAACACCCTCTTTGGTTTGGAAGTGAAAGAAGGTTTAAAAAAAAGATCTCGGTTCTGAGCAAACAGGAACAGAAATCTGAGTAAACAGGAGCAGAAATCTATGCTCCCCTTTCAGACTGAGGTGTGATTGTAGTCTGTACTGTGCTGTGGAAACCAGGGAGGATTTCAGGGCTAAGGTTTTGGCAGAATAGGGCGGGGGGGGGAGGAGGTTGGGTGTGTGAATCATAGATTGTTCCCATTTCAGCCACAAAGTGGCGATGAGCAAAAGGATTTTGGGTTCGCTCAAGCCAGGAATTGCAGGCAGCCAGACGTGGAAGATGGGCCCCATAACCCAAGACATTGTGTACACTAAACATTTTCTCTGATAAAGCAAGTGACACCCCTCAGCACCTCTCCAAAGTCAACATTTTCCCATCCAGCCAAACTAGGCAAGGATTTGCACAGAACTTACATACGCCTGATGGGGAACCTCTCGCTCTAGCGTTGGTGCGGTCTGGAATCATGCTTCCAAAATGCAGCCTCGGGCGGGAAAAGCAGAGGCCGTGTGGCCAAGGGGAGCCAAGAGAGGTCAATGCCCTGGAAGCGCCATCCAAGCACTATTGTTTCAAAACTATTGCTTGGACATTTTCAAAAATGGCTTTAAAACAACGGCACAATCAGAAATCGTAGAAAGATCCCTTTTAAGCGCCCAAAATGTTAAAAGAAGCCGATTTCCAGGAATCTAGACTCTGTAAAAGTGGGCTCACCCGCGTTGCAGTCCGCATTTAGCGCGGCCACCCCGTGGATCTGCCAGAGAAAGTGGCTAAGGAGGGATGGACACTTCCCGCGCCTTTGCCGTAAAGAAAGCTTGACCTTGAGCCGTGTCAAAGAGTTCCAGCCGGCTGCCACGGGAGGTTCCAGGAGACGGCTCTCGGCCGACCCACCCGGGCCCTGGCCACAGGAGAGGTCTGAAGGAGGTTGAAAGGCTAGGCAAAGCCAGAGGTGGCAAATGTTATTTTCAGACTCTAATTCCAGAACCACCACCCTCTCTGGTCGGTGGCCATCCTGAGATTACAGGGGTTCTGCTCCAAAGAACCTAGCTTGACCTCTTAGAACCAAGTGTGCGGCTTTTGGATCGGGTAGCCATGGCCCCCTGAAACAGCACCATGGGTCACCGCTGGTTCCCCCCCCCGCACACGCACACCCCTTTTCCTCTGAGTTGGCCATGTTGTGTGATGTAGCACCGGAGGTGGAGGGTGGGGTCGGGGGGTAGAGAGAAAATGTAGGAAAAGCACCAGAAGAGTTGGAAGCCCGGCCTGATGGTGGGGCCAAGAGGCAGAGGGATCGAGAGGAGAGAAGAAGCACCAGCCAGCCCTTGTCCCAGCATTAAACCCTGCTGGCTCATGGGGGAGAAGCAGGAAGCCTCTGTGGGCTCCATTTTTCTCTGCCCTGCTGGGAAAACGGCTGACGGGCCTCAGGAACAGGGCTGTGCTCTCCTCCCCCCCCCCTTCACAAGCACCGAAAGAGCAAAGCCCACACAGAGAGTGACTCTGCGGTGCAAGGCATAGCACAGCAGGCTGTAAGAAATCTGGAGCAGGGTGAAAACCTTTGGCCGCCCCAAGCTTGCAGCCTGCTTGTCCCATTCATGGGGGTCTTTGGGCGCTGCCACCACTGCCCCATTAAGCCACTGTGAGAATTTGAGAGTCAATTGCTGGGAGGTGATTTCTAGAAACCGCCAGGTCTCAGAATCCCTCAGGTAGCACGGCCGGGAGTGGTTCTGTGGAGTGGAGTGAAAGAAAACCCTGTTTTCTGAGCCCTGACGTGTTTGCCTGCAGAGCTTGGCCGCCTACCTGGGGCTCTTTTGCCAATGAAATGCTCCAGTTGAGAGCCAGCGGTAGGCTTTCGGCTGACACTGCCAACTTCTCCTCTCAGTGAGTCCCTGGCCCTTAATCTTGAAAGATCAGGACATAGCCGCTGAGGATGCAGTTCTTGGACAGAGCCAGCTCCCTGCTGTGCTTGTGGGTCTTCAAGCAGTCCCCACACCCATGGCGCCAGTCCCGGTTGCTTATCCCCGCTGGACGGAGGAAAAATCTCACCAGTTCCTCCAAGCTGTCTTGGGAGAGCGAGGGGCCACCAGGAGGGGCTCCCAGGATAAGGGGCTTCCTCCAGCAGTTATTGCTCTAAGTAAGGCCCTTACCCTCTCACCTCTTTGTCAAGGGTGGTTATATCCTGCACACGGCGGAGAAAGTCATCTTTGCCATGTGGGCGTTCTTCCCTGTGTGGCAGTGCCATTGGCGCAGAACTGGAGGGGGACAGGACAGCCACGGAAACCTCCCTCAAGATCCAGTGGATTCGGCCAGAGCCACAAGCAGCAGAGCCCCACAGAACGGTCCCCAAATGGACATCTTGGCTTCATTCCCTGATTCCGCCTCTCGGGCTTCTGAGCATGCTGGTCTGCTTCCTGGGCAAATCTTTCAAAGGCAGCTCACGGCCCCGGCAGGGAAGAGCCAGCTCCCCCTAAACTCCTGCGACGATGCCAGGATGGGTGGGTGGGAAACGCTGCCCGTTGCCCTTGTGGTTATTGCACTTGCCCTCCGCACACCCAACCCCGCACAATCCTCAGCCTCCGGCTCGTGGTCACACCTCTGCGAAGGCCAGGTTGTACCGCTCCTGGGGCTTGCTGCACCGGCGGGCCACAATGGCCAGGTAGAGGGTGAGCAGCGCCACCCAGTAGCAAGCATACAAGATGGCTCCCGAGATGAGCAGGACCAGCTCGGTGTCCGTGAAAAGATCCTGGCAGTAGGCGGTGTAAGCCAGGCCGCCCAGCAGCACCGCCACCCAGATGGAGACGGGGACGAGGCCGATGAAGTTGACCACGACGGTCTTGCGTCCGGAGGTGCCCCAGCCCGATTTGGTGATGGTGGCGACGGCAAAGATCTTGGCAGGCAGCAGGCTGGACATGTAGAGGAGGGAGTAGAGGGACATGAAGATCATCTCGGCGTTGCCCCGCAGGAAGCAGGCGTAGGTGGCCTTGATGATGCCCACCAGCTGGACCGTCAGCAGGAAAAGGAGGATGTTCCACACCCGGCCGCGGTAGAAGAGCTGGATGACGGTGGCGATGAGGAAGAAGGGGAAGAAACCCGTCACCACCGACTCGTAGGTCATCCAGAGGTGGTGCTTGTGGAACCAGAGGGCGTTGTACAGCCACTCCCGGAAGTAGGACTTGCTCCAGCGCGTCTGCTGGTTGAGCCACCGGAGGTACCGGGTGGGCGTCTCGGTCAGGCACTTGGAGCGGGCCGTGTATTTTGTCCGATAGCCCAGGCTCAAGACGCGGTTGGTGAGGTGCCGGTCATCCCCGAAGCTGCACTTGCTGCCCAGGAAGGTCTGGTGGTACCAGTCTTCCAGGAACTGCTGCAACAAGGCGTTGCGGTACATGCCCAGGGGCCCGCTGATGCACTGGACGCAGCCAAAGTAGGACTGGCAAGCCCGCTCCACGTTGAAGGCCATCCAGTAGCGCACGCTGCTGAGGAAGGAGAGCCACGAGTCGTACTTGTTGAGGATCTAAGGCAAAGGGAAACATAGGTCGGGTTGAGCCTCCGTTGGCTTTTATTCCATCGGTTCTCTCCCTCCCCGCACCCCCAACCGCCTTTCTCCCATGGAGGGGATTCTAAAAAGCTCACAATAAAACCACGGAAATAAACCCAGATGAATGAATGAATGTCTAAACACAGCAGGCAAGGGGAAATATGGGTTAAAATCCCCTTGGGCAGCGAGGACATTGAATGGCCAACAATCCGGGTGAAGAGAAGGGTTTTTGCCAGTGGTGGGTGGGTGGAAAGAGAGGCCCTGGAAGGCCGGCCTCCCTTCGTAGGACTTATTCTTATTTAACGCCTCCCATCATCAGGAGTGCTGCAGAAGGGTCTCCTCCTCCTCCTCCTCCAAGGGGTTGCCCCCTGGCATGCTCCCGAGCCAGAGGCCCTGAGCTTTCATGGACCACCTGCTCCTCCCCACCTGGACATCTCCGCCAACGCCACCGACCCGAGGATCCTCTTCCAGCACCCGCAGCATCTCCACTGTGCAGGCCGGGTCCAGGACTGTGTCAGAGTCGCACACCTGCCAGGGAGAAAGACCCTGTCATGGCCTGAATTGTCTGGGAAGACGGGCACAGGGCTGAAATCCTGCCAGTTAGCATAGGGAGTGGCCACTGAAAGAGGCCTGGTCGGAATCCATAGAATTTATGGAGGCAATGACTCACCAACCCCCCCACTGATTCAATGGGTCTACTCTCATGTGGCTTACTCTGCTAAGCAACTGGGTTTCAGCCACAAACCCCTTCCCGGAATAACTACGAGAGCTTTGGAAGTTCCTTTTAAAAAGTCATCCACACCCTCGCTTGTTATAACACTCAAGGTGGCGTTTTTGGCTTATTACAATCTTTTAAAACGACGTCCTGACATTACACTTTGGTATTATTTGTGACTTTTGTGTGTGTGTGTGTGTGTGTGTGTGTGTGTGTGTGTGTGTGTGTGTGTGTGTGTGTGTGTGTGTGTGTGTGTGTGTGTTTGGAATCCCAAGGACAGGAACATGGCATGAACTCATATAACTTGTCAAAAGTTCTTCAAAAGCTATGATAAAAGAAGCTAAAAATACTTAGCTTCCCTAGGTATGACCCGACATGACCCTAATAATGTCGCTGCCTTCTCTTTCTTCTATTATTTCTGGACTCTAATCTTTGCTGTGCCATCTTTCCTCAGTAACTCATTGCAGTTAACTAGAATTACTCCTCACTCCTCAGTTCTGCGCTCTACAGACCGTTCCTCCGAAAGGATCTTCATGCTTCACAACAGATACAAAGCCAGGCCAGGGCCGCTGATACAGAACCTCGCTCCCCACTGGATGTTCAGGTAGAGGAGCATTCAAAACAGAAAGCACACACACATACACAAATACACACACACCAGGCTATCAACTGCTGTACAGTCTGTACTGCCTTATGGGCTTGCATCTGTTGTCTAGACCTGCAAGATGCAAGGGGAACAAGCCGTAGGGTGCAGCCTCTCTGTCAAAAGCATTGTCAGTAAGAGAGTATTTGAGTGAGGGGCAGCTCAGATCTTTCCCCATCTGAAGCATAGCTTGGGAAAAATCTCCCAGAATCCCCAGTCTGGGAAGGGCATCAGAGACAGGGCCTTCTCTGCACACTGGACCTTCTCTTGAAGGGACGTCCTATGCCCCCATCTCTGATGAACTTTCCTGCAGGTGGCCAAAACCTCAATGGGTGCACTTTGCACGTCAAAACAGACACCAGTTTTGTGGAATGATATTGGCTGAATTTTTTTTAAAAAAACCACACCCCACAGGCCACCCACTCTGTGCAGGACGCCCACCCACCTGTACATAGTCGACAGAATCCCCGAGGGCGTGGAAGGCCGTGTACATCACCTCCCGCTTCCCGCCCCACTTCTGCATGATGCAGCAGTAGGTGTTGCGGCGCACGAGGCTCTGGATGTGGTGCATGGCTTGGCACCGGCTGCTCTCCGTTTCCCCTTTCCCCCGAGCGTGGAAGTTGCTCTTCCAGACGTAGCAGCCCATTTGATCGGAGCCCATGACCTCACGGAAGATCTCCAGCATGTAGGCGTCTTCCTCCCGGTTGCCGTCCACCACCATGACCACCTTGAGGCCCGGGAAGGAGATGCGCAGGACGGAGTGGAGGCATTTGCGCAGGTAGTCCGGGTCCTCCTGGTAGGCGGCGATGCAGAGGGCCACCGAGGAGCGGAGCTTCAGCGGGCGGCGGTGGGGGTGGCAGGGATGGGGGCCGCGCTCCTCCAGCCGCATGCGCCTGTGCTCCATGAAGGCGAAGAGGCTCTGGATGAAGAGGTGGAGGCCAAGGATGGCCCCATAGAGGCCGAAGGAGAGGTAGTGCTTTTCGGTGTGGATGAACTGGTAGCCTGTGACGTAGGCAGCGAGGATGCCTCCCAGCACCGCCAGGGCAAAGAGGCTGGTCCCCAAAACACGCAAGGCCGTGGAGAAGCTCACTGGCATCTGCGGGGGGGGGGGAGAGGAAGGGAGAGAGGAGGAGAGGGTGATGCCCCACCGGGGTTTATCTACAAAGACACGCGTTTCTGCGCGAGTAATAAACGATCAGGCTTAAAAACAACGAAAGGAAAGCACTCAAAAGCAAAAGAAAGTTTGCCAGACATTTAAAATGTTCTTTTGAGCATCACATGCACCCAAAATTCGGCAGACACCCACCTGGGGTGCCCCTGTGCCGTTGCTGTCCATGTGCAATAAGCCTGAATAAAGGGAAGCCATAACAAAAATAGGCAGCGCCACTAATTCTGGTTTTGCCTCCTTCCTCCTTAGAATCATACCTTTGGAAGGGACCTCCAGAGGTCATCTAGCCCAGCCCCATCTCTCTCTCCCCCCCCCATATATATACACGGGGATCCATGTGCCTGTGGACGCCCAGGGTCTGAACCCGAGAGACTCCTTCTGCCTGCTAAACAGGGGAGGCCACTCTATTCCCAAGACCCTGCTCCGCCCCCCACGGCTTTGACCATAGGTCCTCCCAGCCTCCGAAAGACCCCGGCTCGCCTGCTTGCGGGGAGGGGGCGCGTGTTTCTCGCAGCCCGTCAAGGGAGGTACCCTGATAGGGGGCTGCGGGGTATTCTTGCCCTCCTTCCTCCCCCCTCTGGATGCAGACAACCCCTAGAGCCGTGCGCGCCCTTCCCTGGAGGGGCATCAACGGGCAGAGCGCCTGGCAACCGGGGCACGTCCATCCATCCATCACCCCCACCCGACCCCCACTCCTAGCCGGACCTTGTCTGGGGGGGCGCCTTCTCTCCGCAACCCCCTCCCGCTGATCTGCCTTCTCTTTTCCCGAAATTGGGGACGCCCGGAGGGCGGTTCTCTGGCGCTCAGGAAGGTAGGGGTCCCGGGACGTGGGCGGTGCAAGCAAAGCCTCCACGCAGCCGTCCCCCGCGGGCGCCCCTTCTCTCCCCCACTTGCCTCCTCGCCCTTGGAGGGGGGAGCACGTGCGCCCGGCCCTTGCACCGTGGCCGGCTTGCCAACGCCCCATCCCGGGGCACAGAAGGCCAGCCAGTGAAGAAGTGAGGAGGCGAAAGGAAGATTTCCCCCCCAAAGCAGGTCTCAGGCGGCCGGTCCGAAGGGGGCGGCGGGGCGCCAGGAAGAAGCAGGGCGACTTCTGCAGAGCAGGTCCCCCCCAGCCCCCCTTCCTGGGTGGTCTGATCTCAGTCCCAACAGCCTGCTCCCCCGGCCATGGAGCATGTGCAGAGTGTTTCTCCTCCTGCCACCCGCGCTCCACCCGGCAGCGGGCCCAAGACCCTCTTAGTCCTTAAGCCGGGACCCCGACGGGGAGGAAGCAACCCTCCCCCCCCTTTCCCGCACCCTTGCCAGGGCACCCGAGGCGGGGGGCGGATGCTGCTGCCCGGGCTCCTGGGACCGAGGCGGGCAGCCTGGCATCGCCCCTTGCCCAGAGCCCGGACACTGCCACCCGCGCTCCACCCGGCAGCGGGCCCAAGACCCTCTTAGTCCTTAAGCCGGGACCCCGACGGGGAGGAAGCAACCCTCCCCCCCCTTTCCCGCACCCTTGCCAGGGCACCCGAGGCGGGGGGCGGATGCTGCTGCCCGGGCTCCTGGGACCGAGGCGGGCAGCCTGGCATCGCCCCTTGCCCAGAGCCCGGACAGGACAATGGAGGGAGTCCCTCTTCGCCCACCCGCGCTCCCCGCCGCCAAAGGAGACCCACCGTGCCTGGGCTTCCCCTCGGACGCCGGCACTCCGGAGGGAGCTGGCCGGGTTTGAAACTCCCCTCTCCGAAGAAAAGCAGCCATGAGTGCTGTGACACCTGGAAGCCTAGCGAGATTTTTTTGGGGGGGGGCGAATGCGTGTAAGCTTCCGTACATTGCAGCCGCCCCCCTTTTTCAAGTGCATCAGAGAGGAGAAAAAAAGAGACATGCCAACCCTCCTTTGAAATCGGTCCAAGGAAATTTATGCATATACAACGTGGTCGACTTCCGGGTACCACAACACTCTTAGTGGTTTTGCTGCAACGGGTTAACCCCCCCCCCAGGACACACTTGCCCGGCTAAAGGAAATGTATTGGAGTTGGGAAATGAACCTAACCCCCCTCCCTGCCTGCCCTCACTCTAGGCAAAGGGACCCGACCTCTCAGGTTCAGCTTATGCTCCTGCTCACCTTTTATTTCCCATGCAGGCTGCCCTTGAATAAAATATGAGATTTCCATTGAAACAATCCCCACTCTGCTGTCTTCCTGGGCTAGCAGAGAACCGGAGCCAGAGAAAGGGGGAGAGGAAGTCAGTTCTAAGGGCACCTTGAAAAAAAAACACACACCCCTGATCCACTTGCAAAGTCCAGAAACATGGGTGGGTGCTGATACATTTTTCCCCCACACACCTAAAGTTTAAACAGGCAAGCTTTAGAGTCACACAGGACTCTTCATCAGGCTGGCCATCAGAACTCAGGGGGAGGGTGCAGGGGAGACATAGAAAAGTGAAGAAACCAACCCACCCAGGTGGTGAGGGCTCAGGATCTATTCCTTGAGTGGATTTTTCAGGAGGAACATGGTAAACGTGACAGAATCCACCTGAGGTGTGGCCACAGTGTCAGGTTTCACCTCACCAGGAGGTACACCATCATCATCTGCCTGTCTCTCTTGCTGTCTCTAGAGACAAAGGGATGCCAGCCCCTCCCGGCTCCCTCCCTCCGCTGCCTTCTCCCGAAGCGCAGGGCTCAGCAGCCGAAGCACCCAGGAACACGGAAAATCTTTGGATCAGAAAGGCTGCCGATGAAATATAGGGAAGGGCACCCCAAAGATGGAAAGATTCTGGAGCTTGGAGGGAGCCTCACACGTCACCTTTTAAGGTGGCGCCCGTCTGCAAGACTTCTAGCCATCACCACTCCTTATTCCGTATTCTTATTTAATCTAGATTTATTTTGGATGCCAAAAATAACAGAAGGGGATCCCTCTCTCTTGCACGAACTGTAGAAGGACTAACCACAAACACAGGTTTCCCGCAGACATCATTCCACGCTCATCCTGCCCTTCCAAATCTCCATGTTTCATTGACTATCAAACTTACTTATCAGGGCTGGTTGGGTTTTTTTTAAAGCTTTTAATAGATTGGGCCACAAATCAGGAAGTACTGTAGATTTCTTGAAATTATAAAGAGTGTGTGAGAGGGAACCTCAGGTGATAAAGCCCGCGATGCTGAAGTTATTTCTTTATTTCCAGTTCCTTATCTGGGCAAAACTTCCAAACACAGCTCAGTCATAAAGACCTATGGCTTATCTATGCTGGGACCTTTATGTTGTGTTTATAACTATGCCATACTGGGGCACTTCCCCATTCAAAATAAAAAAGTCCTTTCCAATCCATGGATGTTGAGTCGGAAACCGCTCTCTCAGCCCCTGACAGCGAAAGCCCAAAGAGTCTTATCCGGCCTTAAAATCTTCACCAGTTTTATTTCCGACAAACTTTCACAGACCACAGCCACAAAAACCTGACGCCCATTCAATCTCGTTGAGTCTGGAAGGTGTTCTCGTGATGTTTTTATAGCTTAAGAGGGGGCAATTCTTTGGCCTACCCAAGGGCCCAGCTCCCTTTAAGCACACCCAGTTAAAAAGCAAAGGAACCATTCGGCTTGCTTCAAAGCGACATCCACACGTGGACTCCTCCAGAGACATCAGCATTGCTCAGCCCTAACTCCGTTTATGAGACAAGGCTGGGCTATTGAGTTCACCGCAGCCATCAAGAAAGAAAAAGCTGAAAACTCCAGGGCCCTTATTGAACTCTAAGTTACGGTTTTCTGCCTCTGGGTGAGGGATGCCTACGTCTGTGGTGTGCGTTACATGCCAAGACTTGAGCCTCTGACTTACAGTGACCCTAAGAGGGGTTTCATAAGATAAGTGAGAAACTTAAGGAGTGGCTTTAACAATGCCATTCCCCTATGGGTTTCTATGCCTGAGCAGGCATTCAGACTCAGACCTCCCGAGTCCTCGTCTGCCGCACTATGTTGGGATGTGGTGGGGTCTAAAAACAGTAAAAATATGAAATAATTTATGGAGAAGAAGATTGTGGATAGATGGCGATAGATGTTACCTCCAGGACTAGCAGAGGATTTCATCTAATTCATTACACCTCGTGTTCTTAACCTTCTCCCTTGCAAGGGTGAAATGCATGACAGTCTTTCATGCTGGATATTTGGGGACACCCCGGTGAGGTAAGAGTGTAAGGATGTCTGTTTGTGCAACGGATTTGGTCTATTCCTTGTTCGGTTGGGTGCACAATCTTGTAGCTGGCACCCATTTTGGAGAAAGGCAAATCTTGGAGTTGCAGGAAGAAAAAGGCCTTTGGAGGGAGGAAGCCAAGCTTCCCCTTGGTTTAAAATGAAAGGATGCTGCTCAAAGTGACCTCCACTGGACGAGGCAGCGGGGTCTCCAGCGATGGGGATGCTAAGCGGGAGTTCACATCAGAAGGGAGGAACCGCAGGGGCACATCTGTTTCTTAAAAGCATCTCCTCTTTGCTTGTCTGTCACCTACACAAACACATGCAAATTTCATTCACACCCCCTCGCCTTCCTTCAGATGTGTGTGAAGCTGACAATGGAGGAGCATTTTCATATGCTAAGTGAAATCTGGAGGAAAAAAGATTTCTCAAGGAATTATCATCAGGACGACAGCAGAAGGACCGTGTAGGAAATACAAATTCCAAAAAACCCCTTTGAGCAGAAGATCTGTTGGGTTTCTAGAATTCTTCCAAAGGACCTTCTGCATAGGCATTTCTGCCTAACATGTTAGTTCTTTGCTACAGTATATGGATTTCCCCCCCAGTGTCTTCAAGCTGTCTTCAAGGGCCCTGTCAGAAACCTGAAGTGTATGGTTATCTCAATTTCCTCTGCTCTAACTCTTTGGCGTTCATGCCTGCCTGCTGATCTTTGTAACTTGTAAGGGGAGGGGGCTCGTGGATAGCCATGGCATTGGCCACCCCTGGCAAGGAGGCCT